TATAAAATTTAGTCTCTCAATTAAATTGCTATTTAAAATAGTTTTTGAAGAAGTTTAGCACGTCAGAGTGCAAGATATCAACTACCTACTGTCATAAAGCAAGGCCTCCTTGCGCTCTGGGATGGACAACGGGTATACTCTACCCTTGGGGAGTTTTGCTCCAGGCAGCAAATCAATGGCGCAGTCCCATGGCCGATGAGGTGGTTGGTAACTGAGTGGCTGTCTGCTTACTGAAGACATCCTGGAACGCCAAGTAATCAGACGGGACCGTAACCTTCTCCCGAGGTTCGGGGCTTTTGATGAGGGTAGATGTAACTTGTGCGGAGTGAGATCCTGGGAGCGGAGTGGGTAAGTTTGAGCTTGTACATGGGGATTCAATCCTTGCCGGTAAGAGCTAATTAGGGCCACCTCATTCCACCCGCTAGTCGCCGCCAGCGTTCTGAACCGCAGTGTGTAGTTGTGAATGGATGACGTGCCTTGGCGTAGCCGCAGTAACTGGTCGGACACCGAAAGCACTCCTGCAGTGTGGCCAAAGACTTCTTTGAAATGGTTAGTGAAGGTATCATATGAATTAATTATGACACTATTAGCGTTCCATATGGCCTTAGCCCACAGCAGCGCTCTTCCATTAAGAAGTGATATCAGGAATGCTACCTTAGTGCGTTCGGTGGAAAATTTCTGCGGCTGCATCTCGATGAACAAGGCCACTTGCAGGAGGAAGCCGCCACACTCAGCTGCATCACCCGTGTATGAAGCAGGCATGGCCATGGGACTGACAGAGGCAGACTGGGGGGTTGTCGGAGGAAGCAGGGAAGCCCGGAGGGCGTTTACCAGCTCCTCCAGGACTTCTGCGGGTGTGGGAGGTCAAGGATCCATGGATGTATTTGTATTGGTCTGGTCTTCTGTCATAAAGCAAGGCCCGACACAACGGGTAAGTGAAAGACAGGATGGTTTATTGATACAAGAGGTGGATGAGTGGAACGGGTTAGGTTAAGGCAGGTGAGTGTCAACAGAGTGAATGATTCCAGGGTTCTTATCTGAGTTCTGAGGGTGAGTGTCTGATGCCGGTTTCGTGGGAGATCGTGGAACAGCTTCCAAGGAGTCGTTGGAGGATCGCGGGAGAACCAGAAGGTAAGTCTTTCTAGGAGAATATCGTATAGAGAGTCCAGAACAGTCCATAGGAGTGAACAGTAGACCGGACAGTGAGTGACTGTGATGTGTGTGTATTTGTAGTGTGGCTTGATTGGTGACAGCAGGTGCGGGTGATCAGAACTCAGGTGACTGTGATCGGGTGATTATCCTGGCTGGTGACTGCAGTGACTGTGATGAATCCCTGACACCTACATTTGCAAGTTTCTATATAATGAATATAATAACAAAGTGGCATGTAAGCATGTGTTGGCGTACCGTGGAACGGAGCTTTCTCTGAGAGCCTGCTCCACGTCCATGTCTTCACTCTGGAAGTCCATGATGATGATGTTGAAATTGTTGTCCTTGGTCTCACGGTGCAGGAACTCCATGTCTGAAATGAACTGCTGAACCCAACGCGCCTGATTCTTCACTGTAGGAAACAAATCAACAAATACATTATAATAATACCACATAATATTCATACGTCAGCTACATCAAAACAAAGATTTGCTTTTTTATTTGCATAGCAGAAAATGTACTTGGGCATAACTTGCAAAAAACTTGCAACTTGAGACTCTCTATGAGAAACTCATATTTATATGATATAGTCTTAAAAATATATGATTCTGCTGTTCTATAAATGTAATTTATTTTAAACATTTAATTTATAGTCCCAAGGTATTGACAGCTTCATTTCAGTTTATAAACATTATTACATCTGTGGACGTTTTTCCCAGTTGGCCTATTAAGCCAAATGTATTTTGTTTTATAGAATTGTGTTAATGACATGATAAACTTGTGTAAATGATTGTTATTGTGATGTATTTATCAGCTGTTTGGACTCTCAATCTGACGGCATCCATTCACTGCAGAGGATCCATTGGTGAGCAAGTGATGTAATGCTACATTTGTCCAAATCTGATAAAGAAACAAACTCATCTACATCTTGGATAGCCTGAGCGTAAGGACATATTCAGCAAAATTTACATTTTTGGGTGAACTATTCCTTTAATCGAGTTCTATTAAACCAACCTTTTTTTTTCTTCTACGAGTGAGTGTTATGTAAACTGGTTGCCTGTAGTTTGAGTTTCTGCTAAACAAATCCAAACTGCAATGTATTGTACTGTTAAGGCTAGTTGTGACAGATTCCACATACACGAATGGAATTTCTGATCAGACAAGGAAAATTTTTTCATCACATATCTGCCAATCAAAATTAACCCACCATGTAAAACCTTTCAAATTCACTGCTACACAAAAATAAATTGAAAAAAAAGTGAGAAACAACCATGAAAAACAAACTAGGTCCACACCTTGATTTGAATTTCAAAATATAGTGGCCCCAAGACGCATTTAGACACTTAAGTTGCACTTTAAAATTTATGAATGTCTCTCAAACAAGGTGGCATTTAAACAAAGAGCACAAGCACAGGATTTTTGGCGATACATTTAAGTTACATCAGGGATTCTCAACTCTGACCCACGAGGTCCACTTTCCTGCAGAGTTTAGCTCCAAACCTAATTAAACACACCTGAACAAGCTAATAAAATGATTCATGATTACTAGTAATTTCTAGTAAAGTTACAAGCAAATGAGCTTGAACAAGGTTAGAGACAGGGTTGCCAGGTTTTCACAACAAAACTCACCCAATTGCTACTCAAAACTAGCCCAATCGCGTTTCGAGGGGGGTCCCCCAGTAAAAATCGCATTCCAGAGGGTAAAATACACGTTTTTTGGCAGGGTTTCCCTGGTAAAATTCACATTTTAGGGGCTAAATATCACATTATCTGGGTTGCTTCAACCCGCGGACATGAAAAACAACCCGCAGCAACAGTGTTAAAGTAGCCCAACACTGGTTAGAGCTAAACTGTGCAGGAAAGTGGACCATCTGGGTACATAGTTTCACAAAAATAGATAGATATTTATTACTTACCTGGTACCACAAAATGCACCATGACATTCTTTTTCCACTGCAGCATCACTGGCTGGCACAGCAGGGGTTTGGCATACACTGTGCCCCACTGCGGGGTGCCGTGGGCCCCGCGGGTAGGTGTGCGGGAGGGTGGAGCATGTGGGCTGGCGACAGGGGAAGAGAGGGATGATGCTGTGACCCCTTCCATATTCTCCAGACTGTCTTCTACCCGGCTACGGTGCAACAGCATGTAGATGTACTCAGACAGACGGACCACTTTACGACCTCTCTCCATTAGCTCCAGCTCTATTAGGTAGCGGTTACCGCGTGCAGAGTCACGCCGCTTTTCTACATTTATAATGCGGAGGAGAGTGTAAATCCTGAGAAAGAGGGAGGAAAAAAAAAAGATTACATGGTGGAGTGAGTGGTTGTGCGATTACTTGAAAATGCACACCAGTGCAATTTTAAATGTATATGAATGGTAAGGTGCCCATTTTCAACAATAATTACAGTAATTCTCTTTATTGCTAAAAAGCTGTGCAGTTGAAGAGAGGAAAAAGAAACTGAAAACAAATTAAATTATTTTAAATTTTTTCAGAAGTTTTTCAGAATTATTTTCAGCAGAACAACAACAAAAAAGAAATGTGTATAAATTTAGTTATAATAGTAATATAAATAAAAATACATAAAATGTAAGGTGTCCACTTTCCAGTAATTATAGTAATTATCTGTATCGCTAACTAGACAGACAGGAAAAAGAAACCTCAAAGGAATGTAACAATGCATTTTAAAAAAAGATGCCAAAACCCAAACACTGTGTGAAAACCGATATTTACCGATATATTGTGAATTAAATGTGTAAGTCTCTATATCGCCAAATGGCTGTAGAGTTACACAGCGGAAAAATCATTTTAAATATAAATATTGATATAAATACAAATATATAAAGTGTAAATACTGATTTTACCGATATATCGGAAACTAAAATATTGGTTTCTATATCAGCCTCACCCTCCATTAAGTTCGTTGAGTTTCTCCATGTACTGTGCAAGAACGTCCACCACTTCGCTCTCAGATAGCTGCAGGTTTCCAGATACGTTGCACCGAAGATCATTCCAGTCAGAGCGCAATGCCTCAAAGTCCATGCTATTAACGGAAAACGTCCTCTGCCAATTAATGGCCTCCTCTGCCCACCCGGGACGAGGCTCCACATCCTCATAGCTATACTCCGAAAGGCCTCCTTCCTCCTCTGGTTCTGGGTCCGTGTCCGGCCGCTGCTTTTGAGACTCTGTAATCTCAGAGGTGTGCAAGTAGGAAGTGACACGTAGAGGCTCAGTCGAAAGCACGTTCTCAGAGGAGTTAGCGGACGGAGGGGTGGGCACACGAGGTGGTCGAGCGGTTGTGATGGGCCTCAAGGGATGCTGGTGTTTTTCCCAGACGCCTCGTATCCTTCTCTCAAAGCGGTTTGGGATTGCTGCTCTGTTTGGGGGCATGGGATTTTCAGCTGGCTTGCTGAAGTTGGGGCTCGCTGGAAAGACCTTGTTCTCTTGCAGAGGAGACCGTGTAAATAACTGGGACGCACGCAGAGCTCCTTTGCTGAGCTTTGGTTTGGCACTGAGGTTCACCAGCTTTGTGGTTTTGCCATTCTGGTACAGGAAAACGCCAGGGAAGACCTCTCTGGGTTGGCGTGAAACGAGACTTTGCTTCTCCTTAGCAGGGCGAGGTCTTGTGACGTAGATTTTGTTGTCCTCCTTCTTGCGTTCCTTGTTGGTGTGGCTGGTTCCAGGATTGTGGCTGTTGTCATGAGCGTGGTTGTTACCTGGGGAAGGAACAGTGTGGGCAGGACTGCTGAGAATTTGCTTGGCTCGACTGTTGAGGGCCACCAATGAGGATTTTGGCGGGAAAAGCAAAGCTGATCTACTTATTTTCGGTGAACGATCTTCAGACCAACCCTCTCTGAGGTCCCGGCGGTCTCTTTGAACCCAAGTGAGAGAACGACCTCGCACCACACTCTCACTTTTTGGTAACCCTACCTTAGCCTGATGGTCCAGATTGTCTTGGTCCGTCTCTTGAGGTTGAGACCCAACCACCTGCCTTGCTCTCGTGAAAAAGCGCCTTTGCTCTCTACTAAAAGTTGGGTTGTCCGGCTCTACCTCTTTTTTCTCCAGCATTGTGGGAACAGGTTTATCAGAGGGGCTTGAGGTGTGATTTGATTGGCTAGTTTGGACGGTCTTCTTTGCTGACTGGGTGCCAACAACTTGTGCTTCATCCTCTGGATCCGCCCCCTCTTCTTCTTCAAGAAAATCTAAAGCAGAACACCAAAAACAAACACTATGAGTGTAACTCCACCACTTGATGCCAAGCTCACAAAGAGACCTTGAAAAATAATTCTCGGATATTTGCAACTTATAGGCCTATTCATATCAAGACTTTAAAGCTGTAGTATGAAACTTCTACAAGTGGCACCTAGTGGAATTGCAATATGTTTGAGTGACCCTGCAATAGGCGTTGTGAAATATACCTTACCTGCAAACTTGTTGCCTTTTGGCAAAACACACCGTTCTGACTCTGAAATAGGCCATTTACGTGATTTGTACAAATGAGGAATTTATATGGGGCCATGTCCACACGTACACGGGTCTTTTTATAAACTGATTTTTTCCTTCTTCCGTTTAAAAAAAAAATCTCCGTCCATATGAAAACGCAAACGCATGCTATGAAGCACTGTCAAGAGCATGCCAAACCAACAGGTGGCGATATAATCTCAACCGTAAAGCCATGTTGGCCAATCAGAAGCCTGAAAAAGTTTCCAGTAGGCGGAGATAACAGCACAGGCTCCGACGTCACAAGCCAAAAACTCCAGTTTCACAGTCTACACGATAACACTGCAACCAGAGTTTTTGAAAATCTTCACCCTGGCAGGAGTTTTCAAAAATGTTCGGTTTCAGTGACCTGGTGCTGCGTTTGCGTGTGGACGAATGGCCAAACCGCGTAGAAAAAGCTGTGGTTTTAAAAAGAATCGCGTTCGTGTGGACAGGGCCTGGGTATATGAATACATATCTGACAGGAACTGACAGTCTTCGGAAAAGTTTTTATGGCATTTTCTTTTCATCTTAACTCTGGGTTACGTTTAATGAAATCGTGTTTATAAGTGCAATGCTGCTTTGTGTACAAGGTAAATATCTTAGCTATTGTATTTCTGCTTTCCATAAGCGCCACCTACTGGAGAGTGAATTTGTATTTTTATTCAGCCGGTATATCTTCCGTTCCTGTTCAGACTTGTTGTTTTTATCAAAACTTGCACTATTTGAACTGTAAAGTTGTTTAAATCATAGTTTTTACAGTTATTTTATAGGATGTTACCAGGATTTTATAGTTTAGAATGTTGATACCTAAACAACGTGTAGTTTGTCTTATGAAAACACCTTTCGTCAGTAATTTTCATGTTGTTGTCGATGTAACCAGGCCTTAACCCTTTGAAAATAAACACAACTCCAGCAATTCATTTATTTTCTGGCTCAAACCCAAGGCCATTATCTCCTGATGAATATATCTGCCATGTTCTAATAAAGAAGTTTGTGACGGAACGATGCACTAATAAAGTGTTATTCCTCTTCTGGATCACTGATCACACACATGAAAACTCACCATCAGGATTAGGGAAGAAGAATGGCCTGTCATCTTCCTCCTCATCCATCTTCATGTATTTATAGAAGCCAAACCTGTTAGAGACAGAGATGGAGAGAAAAAGATCAAGTCCATGAAAGACAGAAATACAGAGTTTTAGAGAACTGTATTTATTCATCTCTGTTTCAGTGATCATAACGATTCAGAGTACCATTTAATTTCAAGAAATCTTCTATGAGTTGAAGAAAAAAAAAATACTTTCTTGATAAATGTCCCTGGTCTTACTGTACACATTATGTTTCATAATATATTTCAATATATTTATTGCCATTATAATCTATATACAAGCTTACTTCTCCAAATAGATGGGTGACTCTCTATAGAAGCACTTGTTTTCTCTTTCCATGTGGGTGAGGCGGGTGAAGTCATTGGGATAGACAAAAGAAAGATAGACCTGCAGGCAAAATACCAGACATGACAACCCCAATAATTCACTTGAAATGTCAGTAGCATCAGTAGAATATGTCTGTGAATACTAGATAAAAGCCTATTGTCTAGCATATACTGTACTGCATGCTGCCTACAAATCTTTTGAAAAATAATGTGAAAGTATGCAACAATAAACATCTGAATAATTCTTGCTTTTTATTTAGGCAAGTGGTATAGAGTTTTCATCTCAGGAAACTGACTTTGTGTATTCAAATTACATATAATAAATCAAAAAATGATATTGCTTGCAGGTAATGTCAAGCACATTGCATTGTAGGATATAGAAAAAATGTAGCATTGTGAAGTCTGATTTGTCAAAACAAATGTTTGTTTCTTCATTTGATGCAGAAAATGTAATGTTATTTTCAGCGATAAACAAAATACAAAATCTATAATATAATGATGATAATTGATAATATTTTGTGTAAATGTACCTGTTTATTATTGCTCTCACCTTAATCTTAATTGTTTTTGTGCTTTTGATTTGCAATTACTTTTGTAAGCCAAAAGGGGGCAGTAATCACACAGGAAGTTTTAGTACACTGCAGCAGCAAGTCAATACGTCAACAGGTGCAAGTGCATTGTTACTCAATAGGCATTTTCTGTTGTATTATTTGGCAAAATGTGTGCAGAAATATATGTTTGTTAGACTTACAAACTGTAGGCCTTGATAGCGAGCGATAGGGAAGTCTTTGACCACATATGTTGGCGAGTAGAGACAGGCGGGCAACACATTTTCAAGATGAGAGGGGTCAATCATGGGAACTATGGAGAGTATTGTGAGAAAGACAGTTTAATATTACCAGAGGCAGATTATCAAATTCTCCTGCCAAACATTATTTGTCATTACGGAACACAAGAGGAAAAACGATTGCAGTGGATCCAATAGCAACAGAGAGACAGAAGAATCAAATAAAAAGGGACCTGAACAGACGGATAGAGGCTTACTGTTGAAGAAGGTGTCGCGGGGGTCCGGTTGCAGCATATCGGCGCCATGGTGGCTGCGGGTGTGGGTCTCTGCTGGGACAGGCCCGTGGCTGGCCAGTGTCTGAGGAATGTGATCCACATGGTTCATCTTCAAACTGCTCTCATCTTTCACAAAAAAAGAAGGGAGAATTATTAATGGAGATGGGAAGCCATTGTTTGTGAACAGGCATTACACAGTAGGACTTTAAAAGGCAACATGAAGCAGAATTTACAACACAAAGAATTTCTAATGAAACTAGGGGACCAAGTTATATCTAGAAATCAGAATATCACAAAGAATCAGGGAAGGGCTTTTTGACTTGGGCCAGTAAACAATTTCCTAGAACACCCTGGCAACTGTTTAGCAACACCCAAGAACACCCTATTGAATTCCAAACAATGCTTTAGCAACCACCTAAAACACCATAGAGACCCCTCATAACTAGTGTTGTCAAAAGTACTGACTTCGGTATACCAGTCGGTTTTAAAAACGTCCATTTCCCGCTAACATTTGAATACGAGTCCGACTCTCTAACCATTAGGCCACGACTTCCCCACAATTTGAGCACCGTTTAGCCGATTCTTAAACACTGCTGACTGGCCAATGTGTTCACGGCACGCACTCAACAGATATGACTATGATAATCAGCAATGTTTAAGAATTGGCTCAGCAGCGCTCAAATGTTAGCAGGAAATGGACGTTTTAAAAATTTCACAACACCAATTTTTATTTTTTCAATTTTGACACCACTACTCATAACACCCCAGCAACACCATAAAACACCCAGAACACACTGGTAAGTGCCTAGAAACACTTGAATGCTGGAGGAAAACATTAAAAACCATCTAACAACACCCCAAATTCTTAGCTACCCCCAGAAATCCACAGCAAGTAGCTAACAATGCCATAGAAACCTCCCAGAACACCCACCCAACAGCAATTGCATTACAACAACCTAAAAACCACCCATAACACCCTCGCAACTAACCCTATGATTAGCACCCCCATCCCCCCCCACACCAAAAAAAACTGCCATGCCATAGTAACTACCCAGAACACATTATGAACCACCCACAACACCCTATTAACCACCTAACGCCATAACAACCACCCAGAAGACCCTGATAAGTGCCTAGCAGCCCTCTGATACATAGCAACCCCCAGAAAACTAGAAACTGCATAACAGTGCCATAGGAACCACCAAGAACACCACATAAACCATCTAACAACATCCTAACTGCTTAGTTACCCCCAGAAAACCACAGCAAGTGCCTAATGATGTCCTAGAAACTACCTAGTGCACATATTAAAAATCGCCCAACAGCAACTTCAACAACCCAGAACACCCTAGAAACTACCCACAATGCCCTAGTAACAACCTAACACCATACAATTGAGCGACTCATATGCAACTATTGCAGAAGGTTCAAACGCTCATTGATGCTCCAGAAGGAAAAACCATGCATTAAGAGCCGAGGGTGAAAACTTTTTGAATTTGAAGATCAAGGTAAATTTAACTTATTTTGTCTTCTGGGAAACATGCAACTATCTTCTGTAGCCTCTGAAAAGCAGTAGTAAATAAAAAAATATGATATTTAGGCTAAATAAGAAAAATGTATACATCTCCATTAAAGTTTTAATTTCAACCACGGCTCTTAATGCATGGTTTTTCCTTCTGGAGCATCTGTGAGCGTTTGAACCTTCTATAATAGTTGCACATGAGTCCCTCAGTTGTCTTCAGTGTGAAAAGATGGGTCTCAAAATCACACAGTCATTGTTGGAAAGGGTTCAAATACACAAAAATGCTGGAAAACCAAAGACCTGACCTTTGTGGGACCTGAAGGATTTTTCTGAAGAACAGCAGGCAGTTTAACTGTTCAGGACAAACAAGGGACTCATGAACAACTATCAATAAACGAAGAAAGAAAACAACAAAAAAAACAGCTCTGGATCTTTCAGGTAACAACACATTAAGAATCATTTTCCTATGAACAGGGTCATTTTTATAAATTCAACTATTATTTTCTGTTGTGGACTGTAATATATATTTTATGTGAAATATCTTATTCAGGTCAGCACTAAATAATTAATAATATGCATTTTGTATGATCCCTCTTATTATGGTAAAATAATTAACATTTTGCAGATTCTGAACCCTTTCTACTTTTGACCTCAACTGTAGTACACATTAACAATCGCCCAACAGCAACTTCAACTTCGTTTGGCCTAGCAAACACCAATAGTACCACCTAACAACACCCTAGTAACTTCTTAGCTAGCCCCCAAAAAACATAGTAACTGCATTACAACATCATGGAAAGATCTAGATCTGTGATGCCATAACAACCACCCATAACTCCCTAACAACATTCCGACAACACCCTAGCAGTCACTCAAGACACACTGGCAACTGCCTATCAACACCCATAGCAGCCACCCAGAACACCCGAACAATCATTTAGCAATGTCCAAGCAACCACCCATAACACTCTAGCAACAACTTACCACCACCCTAGCAACTGCCTAACCATGCCCTAGTAAACACCCAGAACCCCCTTGCAACTGCTTATCAACATCCTAGCGCCCTTGGAGAACACCCTAACAATCACCTTGGCAACCATTCAGGACTCCTTTGACAAGATTTGCCTATGCCTATGTGCAGACTGTCTGTCTGTTTAAGCTCAATGTCAGTGCCTTGCTAATATGTGGGTCACTCCACATCAGATACACCAGAATGTCTGGGTGACAAATGAAGGTGCCACCCTTCAAACGACGAGGACCACCAGAGCCCCTCCACGCAGATGAAACAGGCTTTGATGTGTGCTTGAAACCCAAGAGAGAGCAGAGGTGGCTGTTGTCACACTCTGCACTTTAATGTGTGTGAGACGAACACTGTGAAGTGCTTAAGCTCTGTGTTACGTTCAAAGGGAGTTCACATACTAGCAGCTCAACTCAAACAAGAACCAAAATGAAAGGGAACACACTCAAGTATTTAACATTGCAATACCACTAACGTACTAAACAAGAACTTTCCATTCAGGCCCTGGGCTATTTTAGCACACCACAGCAGAACAAGGTGTTCAAAATATAAATTTCTCACACATGCAAATGTGGCACTGACAATAACCAGTGGTGGCATGCTGTATTTTGCGGGATGATATAATTGTTATTTTTCATGCATCAAAACGTCTCCTGGGTCTTACACCTACAACCCTTTGGTTATCAGCCCCAGTCTACCCCCTAATCATATCAAACCCTGCTGTCATTGCGAATGGGATTCTTCATTATGTTGCATATAATAAGCCTTGTACAATGTACAATACAATCACAATTCTGAAGGGAATTCATTTCATAGTATTTGACACTTGATGCAAGTAAGCCCTTGTCAGAACTCAATTTTTCACACAAGGCATTCAAGCATAACTCTGACTCTTTTAGGAGGACTGATGGCTTTTACCAGTCGTGTTGCCTAGAGACACATTCACCACAACCCTTTGCTTCCAACAGCGGTGTCTCTGAAGAACTAAATGTGTAAAAAGAAAAGGAACTGTTACATTAAAAGTTTATAGGAAGTTTTAACATTGAAGAGAAAATGTTATTGCTCAGATGGTGCCTTTTATAGCTCACAAGCTTTCTTTTAAGCATCCTTCCTTTCTTTTAAAATTCCAAAGCATAAATAAAAAGTGACACTAATGAGACTATTGTGTTTTAAGTTTAGAGTATTGTGGCTAGCATAGCTCAGATAAATTTGCCTTAAATTATTTTTATGATAAATTAGTTCATATTGAACTGGCCATCCATCCGTTTCCATTCCTTTGGCCTGAGATACTGGAATAGGCTCCAGCTTCCCTGCGACCTTACAGTGGAGATCAAAATTAGAGAAGAATATTGTTAATCTTCATCAGTCAAAATTTGAAGTAATATTTGCTCTAGGTATACCACTGTTCTACTAACATGTTTGACAAAATAGCCAAGCCATTTCAACAAAAACCTTTATTTTGTGGAAATCAGTGATCAAAATTAGAGAACAGTAACCACTGTAGCACAAAAAAAGAATACAACTAAAATCTTGGGGAGTTTGTAATTAGTAGGAACTGTAGAGGCCCTTGCTTTAAATGACTTCAGCACATCTGCGGCCTCAGGACGTCACTAGTCTCTCACACTGCACCGGTGTGATCTTGGTCCATTCTTCTTCCAGTCTCTTCCATAGTTTGGTAGCTGTAGTGGGTTTCTTAGGTATAACTTTGTTGCCAAGGATTTTCCAGAGATTTTCAGATCAGGTTTAGATCAGGACTCTGGGCCAGCCATTTCATTATTTCAGTATTTTCAGCTTCAAGGAACTGCTTTACCTGTTTTGCAGTGTGGCGGGTGCATTGTCTTGCATGAAAATTGCAGGCTGATTGGGAGATGCTTGCAGGGAAGGTACCGCATGTTGCTGAAGGAGGTTCTGATAAATATTTGCATTCCCCCTGCCATGTAGCTGTATAAAAGTCCGAACTCCTGCTGCAGAAAACATCCCCCAAACCATGACACTTCCTCCTCCACTTTTCACTTACTTCTTTATGCACTTAGGGTTCAGTTTTTACTCAGTTTTATGCCAAACAAAATGTTGCCCTTCAGACCCAAATAAATTTAACTTGCTCTCATCACTAAAGTGAACTTTGGACCAGTTCTCATCTCTCCACACGACATGCTCCTCAGCAAAGGTGAGTCTAGCCTTTTGATTATTTGTGCTGATAAGAGGCTTGGTCACTGCAGAGTGGGCTTTCAGTCCAAATTCTCTTAAACATTCTGAGACAGATCCTTAGCAATTCCAGCTGCAGTGCTGAACCGATTCCCCATTGAGTGTCTCAACATTATCCTGTCTTCTCGTGCATTTGTCTTACGTGGACAACCAGCCATTTTGGGGGACTTGAATGAATTAGTGTCACTGTAAACCTGCAATATTTGAGAAAGCACAGATTTGGAATGACCAACTTCTATTGCAATGGCTGAAAGGGTCATCCCTTTGGTCTTCATCTGGACAACCTCCTGTCGCAGAGTTTCAGTCACCTCAGAGCAGCCTGCCATCTAACAATCCCAGTGGAAATTGGAGGAATGCTGCCAGTTAAAAAGGGTTTGTAATATAATTAAGAAAATTAGCACCAGGTGCCAGATTAACGCCAATAACTTATATCTGTATCAGTGTTCTCTAATTTTGATCAGAGTTCTTTTTCAAATATCTCATTTAAGTGTTTTATACTGTGCTTCAGAATACAATAAATGTATGAAATATACTTAAAAACTGCCCTTCTACTCCTGTTGGGATAACTTCAAATAGGACTAAGCAGTAACCTTTAAAATGGAGGAAATTATAGGTTGTTCTCTAATTTTGATCACCACCGTACATAGGACAAATGGTTTGGAGCAGTGGTTCCCAACCACGTTTCTGGAGTTCTGCCCAGCACTGCACATTTTGCATGTATCCTTCCTGATTCAACTCATCAGCTCATTAGCAGAAACTCCAAGACCTGAAATGGGTGTGTCAGATAAATAAGACATGCAAAATGTGCAGATTTGGGGTACTGAAGGAAAGTGGTTGGGAACCACTGGTTTGGAGAATGGATGAATAGTTCATACTGAGCTCTCTGACTTTTGATTGTAGACATTGGCAAATCTGAGCAAAGTTTGAGACATTGGGGAGATGTCTTAGGAAATTCAAGAATATATGTTTGATTATTCAGGTCTTTTTTCTCAGGAGAACACTTAAAAGCAATATACTTCTACTTTGCTTCCTAGTTAATGTCATTGCTTTCTAGAAGAACCAATTTAAATTTTATGGAGATTTCATTTGTAATTCTTCTTTCCAAATTGAATGTAAACTCTATGAGGCCAGGGTGTGTGTGCTGTGAAATGCTTGAAAACAGATAAGCTCCATTGTGTTACAAGATGGCATTTGTACTGAAGACACTTCCAAAAGGCTATCCGTGAAGGTCAGCATAATCACTATAGCAACAGTATGCAAGCTATGGATGTTAGCACTCCATGCCTGATCTCCCTTTGAGAGCACGCAAGATCCAACAGAGTCTTTATAACCTTGTTCTTTTTCCTGTGTCCTTTCTCTCTTTATGTCACAACAGCTCTAAGCACATTTTCAATTTTGCTTCACCTCAGGGCACTGGCACCAAAAAGTGTTGAAAGCAAATTACGTCCACTAAACTCACCAATTTTGTAGCGAACTCTGTAGGACGCTATTAAAAGTCTTTGCGCATACAACTTTAGGGCACGGAAAACAACTTTAAAGTGTAATGCAGCTAATACATCTAGTCATTTCAAGATCGATGGGACACACTGTATCAATCCCTGCACAAAGACCAGCGATTGGAAACAGCCTCCGGCAGAAGGAGTCACTGTCATCAATCTCAATGATCCTGAAAAAGCCACTTTCTTCCTTCTTGACAACTCTCAGAGGCACGGTCTGTTTCATAAACAGTTCACACCGAAACCTTTCAAGCACCTCGGAGAATAACATAAAAAACTAAAGTTCAAACTATCATGTCATCAAGCCATTCAAACCATGATGGCATGGCGGCAGTACGATGGCTAGTCAGTGCTGGTTAGTTTTGAAATTGGTGGAGTTTGTAAGAGAGGGAGGGTTACCTGTGTACAAGGAGATGTACGCGGAATCGATGACCTCATACTTGAGTCCTGGCAGGAAAGGGCGCCACTGTAATGGAGACAAAGAGAGACATTTAGAGAGAAACTAGTCTCAAGCCTCATACGGCATGGCCACGGTTGGCCAACAGACCATCCTTAGACTGCATGAAGCATATTGCACAGAAACCAGCAAGATTCGGCTGAAATCGACAGTTCTAGCAATTTCTAGGAATCAGGGCACATAGGTTTTCATCAGTCCACCAGAAAGAAGTGTTGTGTTTGGGTACCAATTGAATGCAACAAGTGCTTTTGAGAAACAATCAGTTGTAGGATTTGATGAAGTTGATGAGGTTCATGCTATTAAATCATTTGAAAGACACTCTAGAATTTTGTAGGAGATGCTTGAGACAGTACTTTTTCACCTTTTGCTTAAAGGGATAGTTCACCCAAAAATGAAAATTCTGTCATTAATTACTCACCGTCATGTCATTCTAAATCTGTAAGACCTTTGCTCATCTTCACAACACAAATTAAAGGGGTCATATGATGCTTCTAAAAAGGACATTGTTTTGTGTATTTGGTGTAATGAAATGTGTTTATGCGGTTTAAGGTTCAAAAAACACATTATTTTCCACATACTGTACATTATTGTTTCTCCTCTATGCCCCGCCTTTCTGAAACGTGTCGATTTTTACAAAGCTCATCGGTCTGAAAAGCGAGGTGTACGCTGATTGGCCA